ATATATATATATATATGAGAAAAATTATATTTGTGTGTTACTTTTTAATTAAGATTTTAATATTTTGTGAATTTATTTATTAAAATATATTTACATTTATAAATGTAAAAGTTTATTTAAGGTATTATGTGTGTGTGTGTATATATATATTATATAATAATATATTAACATATATTTCAGATACATTTTTTTATTTAATAATTTTTTTGCATTAATTAATGAATTATGTTATATATGTGTAAATGTGAATATGTATGTGTGTGTATTAAGATGTGTTTGTGTTTGTGTTGCAGATGTGGATGTGTTGCAGCGGTTGGCTCTGCGTGCTGAGCTCGGTTCTCGTGCCGTTCCCGCTGGCGTCATCTCCCTCCGCTCTGGAGTCATCCTCACGACACGGGTACGAGTTACCACAGCGACACGTTCCGTGTTCCCACCAGAGCTCTTCTGGAACTGCACTCTCGTCCTGAGCGTCCGATCTCACCGCTTAAACTCAGCATTTCTCTTCTCCGTCCTATCTGGGAAGCGAATTCAACTCGGGCTAGAAATTTCGCCCAGCAAGCTAACACTTCACGCCGGCCCTGGGAATGCCGCGGTCTTTGCGTACAACCTCCACGACGGGCGCTGGCATCATCTAGCCTTTGTTTTAAACGGCCAATCAGTGACCCTACACTCTCCCTGCTCGGAGAGCGATGGCGGAGTTACACAGAAACTCCCCGTACTTCCCGAACGCCTGAACCCTCGTGGGACCTTCCGCTTGGGCGGCACCAGCGCTTTGCTTCCGGGTGTGGTACCCTTCGAGGGAGCGATTTGCCAGTTTGACGTGGTGCCCTCGGCACAAGCACAGCAGAACTACTGCAGCGCTATCCGCAGGCAATGCAGAGAAAATGACACCTACAGGCCACCGCCTCCCGCTCTACTTCCCCTCCCGTCCCGACACGCCCTACCACTATTGGCCCACACGTTACCACCTAATCGCACTTTCACTTTCACTCCCACTAATTTCCTTTGGACATCCATAAATGGTGCAGGAGGGTCTTCTGCTGTGAGAATGGGCAACGGTGTACGACCAAAACCCACGTCTACCACACCTCCACCCCTTTCCTTGATGCAAACAGGACTTGAAAATCCTTTATCATGGGGACATTTAAATTCGGTCACCCCCAAACCTACTCTCAGAACACACAAAAGCCCCAAGCCGACTGCCTCAAAGCTTGGAGCGGTCTGGCTTACCCCTACAAAACCAGCCAGATCCAGACCCACTCCAGGAAAAACGTCTCCAAAGCTTAGTGCAACAAAGCCTTCCGGACCAAAGCCCACAATTGCTCGACCTACTTCTTCCAAACCTGGAAGTTCAAAAACAACTGGTGCCAAACCTACGCCACCAAAACCTTCCAAACCAGCAGCTGTAAAACCCACGGTAAAGAAACCAACTCTTACGCCAAAGCCCACCAATATCAACTCAACAAAGAATACTTCTACTGGTGCTCAACCTATCAATCCTAACAAGAAACACAATGCTATTCTAAAACCGTTGTCCAACCCAGAACCGACCGCCACCAAAAGACCCTCGCCAGCCAACAAAAAGCCACTCCAGCCAAAAACCAGCACCCAACGCTCACCCCAAACCACACTCCCAACCCCAAAATCTACCGCTGCCCTAAACCCTACACCCAAAAAAAGCCTTCCGATGCCCAAATCTGCTCCGTTCACCACCGCTGCACCAAACAAACCACCAAAAACTCTGGAAACCCCCAAAGTCAATCCTGACAAGCTGAAAACACCTGTGCATTACATCACACCGGGCACTCCAAGGTTTTCCATCCAATCTGTGACTCTTCCGGCTTTCAACGATTTCCAGAGCTTCGAAGCGGAGCCCACATACTTTTCGCTTCTGGTTGGACCTCCGGGACAAAAAGGAGATCCCGGGAAAATGGTAAGAGAGCTGCATTGTTTGTGTCGGTGTGTGTGTTTGATAGAGCCTTGATAGTGCATCATGTCAAATTTGAGTTTGTTGGTAAAAATGGGCACATGAGCAGATATTCATAATAATCATGCCACCCAGAAGATAAAGAAAGTCTTTTTTCCAATATCACACAATCCTACTTTTCTTATGATAAAAAATCAGATGTAAAATGTAGATGCCTGGCACAATCAGGCTCGCCCACATTTAGATGCCAGGCACATTTTTACTGTCTGCACTGAAAGCAGAAATGCTGCATGATACATTAGCATTCAGTTAATGTAATATTCAGTTAAATGTGGAGCAAGATTTTTGACCAATCAAATCTCCCTGTGGGCGGGACTATCTTGCATGGTACACTACAAATTGAAACCAACTGACTGACTAAATGTTCCACTGCTGGTTGCAATCATTGTTGGTTAGGACAAAAAAATCTGATTAACATGGAAGAGATCATTTTGTCACTTGTCATGCCTAGTTAAGACACATTGTAATATTTTTTTAAAGGGACAGTGTGCATATTGATTAATGAGGTGTTATTTTTACTTGCAGTAATAAGAACTATAGATACACTGCCATTCAAAAGTTTGGGGTAAATAATATTTTTAAAAGGTTTTTGAAATTCTCTTATGCTCACAGAGGCTGCATTTATTTGATCAGAAATACATTAAAATCACTAATAATGTGAAATATCAATGTAATTCAAATAACTTTTTTGAATATATTTTAAATTGAAATAATTTCCTGTGATGCAAAGCTGAATTTTCAGCATCATTACTCCAGTCTTCAGAGTCACATGATCCTTCAGAAATCATTCTAATATGCTGATTTGCTGCTCAAGAAACATTTATTATTAATATTATCAATGTTGAAAACAGTCGTTGCATTATATCTTTGTGGAAACCATAATACATTTTTCAGGATTCTTTGGTGAATATAAAGATAAACCTGTATTTGAAATAGAAATCTTTTGTGACAATATATACGTCTAGTATTAATTTCTTAAATTAATTTCTTAAAATAAATACAATCTTACAAGTTTAATTCATTATAAATTATTTTGTAAATGTCTAAAAACACAAACATCATGTTTTACTGTCCTGTCTGCACCTTGAAAATCACTTTTATGGTGGTAGAAATAGAAAGATATATTTTTGGTGGATTTATATTGGTTTAGACTGATTACAAGAACACAGTTCTGCAGTTTCCAGGTGAATCAAATGCTCCTTAAAGGATGTAAACAGATCAGTATTGCTTCTATTTTTGGGCTGTGAGCATCACTTTAGGATCAAAATTGTGTTGGTAATTGCTGTGAAGTTTATATAAACATTTGTTCATGTGAATTCGTCCTTCTCCCATCTTAGTGTTTTCTTGCATCACTTTGAGTTTGAAAGCCCTTGAGCGATGTGCTTTTAAAGCTGGGTCAAAGGTCAGGGAACATTTTATCAGTCACCCAAACACTCACACCAAACTTTGCAAGCAGAGAATCCTAATCCATCCATGGAAAACTAGGCATGGGGTTTCAATCAGAATCAGAAACTCTCGAACCACCTTGTTTTAGAGACCAAACCTCAAAAGCAATCACCTGACCTGTGACGCAAAAACAAATAAGGATAAGTGAGTTATTGCAAGTCCTGTGTTAAATGTGAGCTGTATTTCAACAGTAGGACTGCGACGTCTCTAAGGTCCTTTAGATGCAGCAACATGGGAAAAAGCATTTCAAGCAAATTGCTTAGAAACTGTTTAGTTAACAAGGATGTTCAAAGTTAGTGATGACTTCATGGTCAGACTCTCTAGAGGGCATTTTCCAAAATAGCTGACTAACTTGACAAAACAGCCCACATGTTGAACAGTGACCCATTTTTGTGATGTCTGCACATCACTGTGGTTACCTTTGTGTAATTTGGTGGGACTCACAGGTATGTGTGTGTGTAGCACCCAATAGAATGTTCTCTGTCATTACCGCAGCATAATTACCCAAAAGCCCCCATCCTTCACCATAAAGACACGTTCAGCAGGTACTTCACTAAAACACCAGGAACACACCCGGCAATTCTCTCAATTACACGTGCACACGCACGTGCAATTATTTAAGTCTGCAATTATTTACAGCCCTGAGCTGCAGTACATCGTTTACTCGAAGATAATGAGCTGTAGTCACTATCTTTAGCCTTACTTAAATCCACAATAAACCCAAAAAACACTGTTCACTCACACACTCACAAGCTCTGTTCACAATGAAATGCTACTGCTTACTAAATACTGTCCAGTATGTGCTTTTTACTGCCTACTAATTTAAATTAGCATGAAACAGGGTCAACTAGTAGTATGCTAATGTTGTCACTACTGTATGTTACGGTGTTATTTTAGTATTATTTATATATTATAGTTTTTATTAATATTAATATTTTTGCTTTCATTTTCAATTTTCTTTGAGTATTGTACTTTTTCATTTGTGTTAGTTTTTTTATATTACTATTTAAGTCTTATATATTTTTAATATAAATTTTTTGTGTAATATTAACATTTTCATTTTAGTATATATATATATATATATATATATATATAGTAATTTTGTCATGTGGTTTGGTTATTTTTATTAGTTATTTTTTTATGTTAGTGTTTAGGTTTCTTTTTTTTTTTTCCATTTATTAATTTCCAGTTAGTAATTTTAGTTATTAAATTTTTTTTAAATATCACTATTTAGGTTTAATTAATTTTTATTTCAGTTTTAGTTTTAGCTTTTGTTTATTACCAGTTAGTAATTTTAGTGCTTCAACTAGGGTTGCAAAAGGTGGAAAATTTCCAGTAAATTTAGGAAATATTCCAGAAATTTTGGAAACTTTCCAGGATGTTTTTGGAATATTCCAGGGATTTTTGGAAAGTTTCCGGAAATTTACCAGAAATGTTCCACCCCTTTGCCACCCTAGCTTCAACTTACAAGTAATTCAGTTAGTTGCCAAGGCAATGTTTCTTATTTTCATTTAGTTTGTCATCATTTCGTTATTTTATTTCTACTTCATTTCAGTTAATAAAAATATTTGTAATAGTTTTAGTTAACAATAGTAACCCTGATGTGTTGCATGTTTACGAATTACTTTGCATGTTTAATCTAAAATGATCTTTAGATTATTCAAATAAGTATTAATATTTTAATTTATTTCCACTTTATTTCAGTTAATAGAAAGGCATTTAATTGTTTTAGTTTTAGTTAATGACAGTAACCCTGGTATATTGCATGAGCAATTTAGTGAGAGGTGTCCGGTTATGAGTTACTTTGCATTTTTAATTCAAAAGTATCTTAAAATTTGTCAATTAAGTAATAGGTCAAGAAAAAAATTATAAATAGTGCTGCTTGTATTATTTCGTTTACACTGTACACTGTAAATGGAAGCAGCATTGCTTTGTTGGATGCAGTAGCAAATGTAGGTATTCATTTGGGTCAAACTGTGCACAAAGTACTGCAGCAATATTAAACAGTGTGGTATGGTATTATGGTGTTTTGAGCACCGTTTGAAAGCACTGTTTCATGATGGGAATATCTGGATGTTCATTCAGGACTCAGGTGGGTTGGTGGGGGGCTGTGGTGTACATGTATGTGGGTGAGAAAGCGCCATCCCCCTCCTCCATCAACAGAGCCATAGTTCTAGAGCTCAGAGATTCTTAACATAAACTCACAGCAGCTCACACACTCATCTTCTTTGAGAGCCGCCCGCGCTCAATGAAGGCTTTCATCCTGTGCCGCGTGGCACTGCGCTGGGGGTGGAGGACAGAGAAGCCAACTGATCCTCTGTTTCTACAACTATGCTGATATATATGATACCGCTTGAGCCATAGAGCTGGGAGAAATACCCGGGAAAACTGTGATATTTTTGGCCATTTGATGATATTTGATATGTAAAGTATGTTTATGCTCTGAAATGCAAGGGTGTTTTTTGAAACTTTTGCATGAAACATGCAAAAATGTTGCATGAAACAGCATTCACAGCTTGTTTTACTTTTATGTGGTGTACGTCATTTCAGAAACAAGTATTTTGACAGAATATATTCTGATTAAATACTATAATTTATAATCATATTTTTTTTACTAATATATTTTATGTATGTTTATTTGTTTTATAGATAATGTATATTAATAAAAAATATTTATTATTATTAATATGCATTTATAAAATATGTGACCCTGGAGCACAAAACCAGTCTTATGTAGCACGGGTTTATTTGTAGCAATAGCCAAAAAAACATTGTATGGGTCAAAATGATCGATTTTTCTTTTATGCCAAAAATCATTAGGATATTAAGTAAAGATCATGTTCCATGAAGATATTTTGTAAATTTCCGACCGTAAATATATTAAAACTTAATTTTTGATTAGTGATATGCATTGCTAAGGACTTCATTTGGACAACTTTAAAGGCAATTAAAATAAAATCTTTTTTTGGACCCTCAGATTCCAGATTTTCAAATTTGTTGTTGATTTTCAAGTTGTATCTCGGCCAAATTTCGGAAAATTGACCCTTATGACTGGTTTTGTGGTCCAGGGTCACATATTTGATTTATTTTAGAAATGTTTATATTAATAAATAAAATATTAATCATTTTCTAAATATAAAATATTTTGCAAATATTTGTGTAAATAATTTATATGAATATTTATTTTATACATCATTTATATCAATATGTAATATGAAAATGTAAATAAATATATTTATAAAACATTCTGTGAATATTTTATAAACAAATTATATTAATAAGTAAATATTGCTTATTTTATAAATAAAACTATTTGTAAAATGTTTTGTGAAGATTTCAAAAAGTATATTAATAAATAAAATATTACTTATTTATATTATTAAATCTAAATATAAACTATTTTGTGAATTTTGACTTCATAATTTATAATAATAAAATAATTTTTATTTTAGAAATGAAGTATTTGACGAAATATTTTACAAACAAATGAATCATTGCATCTGTGTTTTGTACTGATTTGCTGAAACAGACTTTTTGAAAGATTCTAATAAAAAAATATTTCTTATGTTCTTGTCTTAGTGTTGTCATGCTCACAGTGCTCAGAATGGGGGCACAAAATCTGCCAAAATCTGAGCACTGTAGGATTGTAGGATTGGTACATACCTTCAAAGCTACAGAAAAGGACCACAGGGACCTTTACATAAACACACTTGATGTGCGTGCACACACACAAACACACACACACACACACACACACACTGGGACACAGGATCTACAGGTCTTCTGTAAGTCTATAGCTCATTATCAGAAAAAGGAAATTCCCTCGAATGACTTCCTGTGTCCTCTTTGCTGTGTTTAGTTTTTAAACAGTCTTGCAGCACTATAAGCAGTGAGTGTGTGTGTTTGATTCATAAGAGCACTCTTGTGTTTCGTAGGGAATCCCGGGACCTCCAGGGAAACCAGGGCAGCCAGGGCTGAGAGGACCTCGGGTGAGTGTGCGTGTGTGTGTGTGTGTGTTAGACTAATAGAGCCATTGACCTTTAACCTCAGATATAAACAGGAAGTGTGTAAAATGCAGTGCCTTATAAAATCTCTCCCACACTGTTCACTTCAGTGTATTTGTGCTTTATTGGTTCTTTTTAGTGTGTGTGTGTCTGTGTTTTGTCTGGTCAGCGGGTCGAACTGACCTCAGAACAATACACAAACCTCCCCTCCGGATCTGTCTGTCTCATTCACTTTCACACACATTCTTTTGCCCTTTCTTATTTATGTTGATCTGTTTTGTCATTTTTGAGTATTTAATGAAATTATCAATGGAGCTACAATATCATGACTACAACTGCACATAGTTTTAAAGTATTAAGAATTGCAGTAATAATAATAATAATAACAGTAATGATTATTATGATAATAATATTATTAATAATAATGAAGCATCAATTAATATATTAATAAATGAAATATTCATTATTTTATTAATATAAATATTTATCATATATTTTGTAAAAAAAATTTTTTAAATAATTGATAAAAAACATGTACATTTTATACATAATTTATATTAATTTGTGTAATATTACTTATTTTATGAATATAAGTATTTATCACACTTTTTGTGAATATGAATAAATAATTTATGTTAATGTAACCCCTGGACAGGATTTGTAATATAAAATTTAAAAAAATTGAAAAAAACTACAAAAAAATTTATTTTAAGCATTTTAGAGAATTTTTGGGTGGTCTTTTCCTTTGACTTAAGAGTCCTTGTGAGGAATCTTCTAGCACAATCAAACGGAGAGCCACAGAGCCATGACACTTTGTTTGAACTTTGACCTTTGTTGACTGGACGGCAACTGCAGTCCTCATGTAGTGTGCATGCGTCAAAGGTCCACCGTGAGGTCACGCTGTTGTGTGTGTGTGTTAAGTATTTTAGAGCATGTGTTATAAAGGTCTGACTGCTAGGCTTTGTTCAGCTGGCACCCTTTTCATGTTAAATGTGTATGTTATTTGTGTGTGTGTGTGTGTGTGTGTGTTTGCTTGTTAGAACAAAGATGACTTTCAGTAAAGTCAGCCTACGCTATTTGCGCTTTCTTTGCACTCGCCTCAATCTTTGCTTTTCCTAGTAACCGGCTAAAGAATCCTCTTATTGTCACCAAGGCTGCATTTATTTGATCAAAAACCAGTAAAAACAGTAATATTGTGAAATATTAGTACAATAACTGTTTTCTGCTTGAATATATTTTAAAATATAATTTATTCCTGTGATGCTAAGCTGAAATTTCAGCATCATTACTCGAGTCTTCAGTGTCACATGATCCTTCAGAAATCATTTTAATATACTGATTTGCTGCTCGAGAAACATTTCTGATTATTATCAATTTTGAAAACAGTTGTGCTGCTTCATATTTTTGTGGAAACATGATACATTTTTTCCCAGGATTCTTTGATAAATATAAAGTTTTTATCTTAAAAAAAATCTGACTGACTAACTTATAATCAGCCTATATTCACTCCTTATATATATGAATAAATAGTAAAACAAAAAGTGTAAAAAAGCCACATTTTTTAGTGTTTATTGATACAGACAGTTTGGTTAAAATAATTTGTGAAAGTGAATCCCATTTTATTGCATGTCTGTGTGCAAATCAGAGACTTGGCTCTTTTTATTCTTGTGTGTTTAATTTTGTATTAGCAACAAAATATTCAATATAATCAATATATTCAATATAACAGCCCTAATACAAAAACACACACACACTATTGTTTTTACACATGTGCATTGCTTTTGTTTTGTTTTCATGCACGGTATTACTCGATCTGTTGGGCTTATTTATGGACTGTTTCCAATAACACCCATTGACCTTGACCCTCACTGTGACCTCTGACCTCACGTGGGAAGTCGTTTAAAAAAAGAACAAGGTCAGGGTCGCATAAAAGGTCAAAGTCAAATGGAGCTAAGAATTGACTTCTTTTGTTTCAGATCCATTCACTGTAAACTGAAAACACATAATGGCCGAAGCATACTCAAGTATGCAAGCATATGAACGCAAAAGCATCAAGCGAGACAAGATTAATTCCATGCATCATAGAATTAATTCATAATGAAGTTGCATTCTCAGCATGGCCACAAGGGGCGTATAAGCTGTTTCAGCAGTCAGTAGGTGAACTATTAAATGCATTCTGTTTTTCTTAATCGTTCATTCCTAATGTGTGTATTGTTTGTATGTCGTTATCTGTAGGGCCCCCCAGGACCACACGGCAAGCCAGGTCGACCCGGTCTAACAGGGTTGAAGGTAAAAACCAACTCACCCACACTTACGGTCAGATAATCCGCAGTCTGATCTCGTGTACTGCTCTGCTCTTCTTCCTGTGTTTGGCCCTCTGTTATATTCATCACCGCACGCCTGCCGGTACTATTGGGCTGCCAACAAAACCCTGCAGACAAGGTTTTGGAATCACAGGCACACACACACACACAAGCCCTTTGATTTATTTGAGTTCACGAGAAGCCCAGCAGGTAGTGGAAAGTCTTTCCCATGATACAGAAACGAGTGTTTGTGTGGTGAAGTATAGCTGTAGTATTAAACACGGGTTATAAACCAAACCCACTAAATATGCTTCCAAGTTAGGTGTGCGTGTGATGTCCCGCCGTGTGTGATTGGTCCGCCTCTTTCATCCCTGTAAACGATACAAAGGTGGTAAACAGCCGAGCAGCCCAGCGGGGAGTGTGTTTGTGTGATTGCATGGTCTCTGCTTTCTGTGTTTAATTATTTCAAGTGGCCTTTGAAGACAAACCTGGTTAAGATGCAACGGCCTAGAGTCAAACGTCCCATGTGTCCTCGCTCTCTCTTTCTGTCTGCGACACACACATGTACATGCACACACAAATTCGTAATTACGGGAAGATATAAAGCTTAAAACGGATGAAATAACATTCTTGCTTTGATCTGATTAGCATCTTTAAACGACTGGGCTTTGTAAGATGAAACGGTGAAAAAGTTTCACATTTTCTTCAGACGATTTAAACTCCGTCTCTTCTTTCTCTCAGGGGAAGAAAGGAGACCCTGGTCTGTCTCCTGGAAAAGCACCAAAAGGAGAAAAAGTGAGAAAACACATACACTTGTTCCGATTCACGTACTTTAGTGTTCGCAACAGCCAAAACACTGTTCTTGATCAGAACATGCAAACATGCGAAAAGTTACAGCAGCAACATCTGCTCTCTATGGGTTCCTGTGGCAGTGCTGGACTGATTGTGCCTCATGTTTACTGTTCATGTTCATAGGGAGATGTTGGTCTGTCTGGTCCTGTTGGTTTAGTCGCGCCGGAAGGCCGGAAGGTAAGATATTCTGAAATGCTTGAATCATTCTCTCCATTGTTTCATTATTTCTCAACACTAATCTTGCTGTACACTTGCTGGGAGACATGAGCGCAGATGTTTGCCGTTTTGCATATCAGACCCACGCAAACACTCTGAATGCTCCAACTGGTTCTGTCTCACTGTGTCTCCCATTGCTGTGGAAACCCAGTGTAAACATCAGAGGGAATCCCCAATGAGTCGTCTATCACTCCTTTATACTCCATGCACTCACACGTCAAACAAGGCTATTGAGAGTCGTACAGTCGTTCACCATGAGTAGCTCTCTTTGTTACGACCATTAGTGTGTCGCGTCTCAGCTGTGCATGATTATAGTAAGTTTAGACCCTCTGCCAGGCGCTTTAGTGTAAGCAATAATACTTACAGCTTCGTGTGTGTGTTTGTGTTGGAAGGATCTAGCAGAGGGATCTCTGGAAAAATCCTCTAGCCGATTCCTGTATCCATTTAAACGATGGTTGTAAACATGCATATGTTATGTCTAGAGCAGCAAAAACAAATTAAAACAACCAAAGTTAATTATAAAAGAAGTTGACAGTGAACTTTATCAACTCTTTATGCACTTCATGCATATAGTCAGTTTAGACCCAATGCAAGGTGCTTTTTTAAATATTAAAATAAAATTTAAATTTTTTTATCATTCTTTCTTTATCAAATTAGTTGAATTATCACAGAATTAATTGACATTAACTGATTATTGAAATGAGTTGTAGTAGCATGTCAGTACATGTGGTTCAGTGTGTGTGCACGTGTGTTCGTGAATACCTGGCAGGCTGCCACGGCGGTCCATGTGCTTTGTGTTATGTGTCTGTGGTTAGAAAAAGAGCCATTAGAATATAGAGAAGAACCTCTGGAAAAACGGACAGCAGCGTGTCATGAACGAGTGAATGAAGGGATGAATGCGGATGACGGAACCAATAATAAACCAAAGCAGCCTGTGATTCTGCAGAGGGGCCAGACAAATTAAGCAGCTGATCTAGTACAACCTTTAACACAAATTCTACTGTAAACATTAAAAGGTGTTCTAGAGCTAGACAGTGCATAAACAACACAACTTCTTAGAAAGTTATAAGGGATTACAAGATATTTCATATCAGTTTAATGTTTTTTTTTTTTTAGATAAAATTATTCTGACATAAAAGGATCCTTTTTAGAATTCTAACAAAATAAGATTTTGTTTGTTAAAAGTGCACTGTATATGTAGTGTAACTGTTTAAATAGTTGCAAACATACAACAAAGATCAGTGGTACATGTGTGTGGCTGTTCGCTGGAATGTGGAGGTAGAGGCAGGAATCAGAGCTGGGTTTCCCACAAACAAACGTAATGGAAGAACCAGACATCTCTCAGACGCAGAGTGTGACAAGATGGATTTCACTGGTTTGGCAGAGAAGAATGTGTGTGTGTGTGTGTGTGTTGTAGTTTTCTGTTCTTGTGTACATTTCTTTTGAGAATGATGGTACTTCACGCTACTATCTATCTATCTATCTATCTATCTATCTATCTATCTATCTTTGGCAGAGAAGAATGTGTGTGTGTGTGTGTGTGTTGTAGTTTTCTGTTCTTGTGTACATTTCTTTTGAGAATGATGGTACTTCACGCTACTATCTATCTATCTATCTATCTATCTATCTATCTATCTATCTATCTATCTATCTATCTATCTGTCTAGTTGCCTGTCTATCTATCCTGTCTGTCTGTATATCTATCAATCTGTCTGTCTGTCCTGTCTGTTTGTCCGCCTATCTGTCTGTCTGTCTATCTATTCTCATAGTTTATCCATTTTTTCTTGTCTGTCTACTGGCGCACTCACAAGGTCAATAAACAAAAATCAGCACACTGCCACTAATGCTCTCAAAAATGTATTAAAATCACAACGTTTCTACCCTGACTAGGACTACCCTAAGGTCTCACTCATAAGGTCTCACACTTTATATAGTCCTCCCTAGGGGTGTGCGATATTGGCAAAAAATAATATGTCGATATTTTCTGGGATTTTATCGATAACGATAATTAGACTATATTTTGCTGAGTGTGTTATTGTGCTGGTATTTTAAGGACAGCCATGGACAGCTGACTCCTAAAGTTTTTAATATTCTTCATATTCTGAGTGGTGGTCAGTTGACACTGAGAGAAATTAATCTTTTTCCAATAAGTTTAACCTTAATTTTACATTTTATGAGCATTTTTACCTTTATAAAGCCATTTTTCCTAAAAGTGTCTATTATCATTTGAGTGAAATTCTTACATTTAATCAGTGAATTAGAATAATAAGACATTTGGGCTGTTACCAAGCAAATGAAATCAACACAGAAGCTGCATCTGAAGTGGCATTTAGATGTATTTACACACTGTTTAATGCAAGATATGAATGCATTTAACTTGCAATTACAAATGCATAAATAATGTTTTGATATATTAAACATAAGGCCAAACAAAGTAGTTTCGCTTTCACAACGAAACACACAGCGCCTTCACGACATGGCGGCGGCAACAATACTACAGCGAGAATAAAAGTTACGCCTTCTTTCTTTGCGTGAACATTTGGGCAGCATTATGCAAATCTTCCCACATCGTGACGTAGACATGTGGGGGCGTGTTAGAACGAGCCATTTTAGGTAGGCGTAGCTGACTCTTAACTTTTATAAAGAATATCTCTTTGGATTTGAGACTTTAGTCTTTGCAACTTTACAGATCTTCTTTATGCACCAAGAGCTTGTAACACTCCAAAGAGAAAAGAAAAATTGAAATCGCAACATATGACCCCTTTAAAACAACAATTACGATATTATCGCATCGCACACCCCTAGTCCTCCCTCAAACCCATTTCTCGCTCTGTTCCACCTAAGATGCATATTTTCCACTCTGTGTCGTTGTCTTGCACATGGGACAAAACAGGTCCAGGAAGGGTAACTGCTATTAGGTTTAAAAATAAAAATATTTTCAATTTTAAATGTCATGAGGGATTAATAATA